TGCCCTGGTGGGCGAGGAACAGCGAGCCGGTGCAGATGGAGAGGAGGGTCCGCTCGTGGGTCGGGTCGCTCTTCTGCAGCTCCGAGTAGGCCGTGATGAGGTCGAGGGGCTCGGCCTTGTTCTTGATCACGGGCTCGACGTTGCCGCCGACCACGACCATGACGTCAAAGTCCGAGAGCCGCTCTTTGGCCTCTTTCCACGAGATCTGGGAGCCGATGACGACGCCCTGCTCGCTGACGACCTTGGGTTCGCCGGCGGCGATGGTCACTTCGAAGGCCTTGGAGGCTAGGCGGGGAGCGCTTGTTAGCATTCATGCAAGCTGTTGTGGGCAACTGCGGGGGAGGCAAAGTGGTGGTACGGGCAGCGACGCAGCTTACACTTGTCATTGGGATCATGGAGGGCAGAGGTAAGGACCTCGAGAGGGCCGGCCATGTCCATGAGGTTGAAGTTGGGATGCAGGGCGAACAAGATGTCGACAGGCTCGTCCGCCACTGCAGACCCCTTTGCAGCCATCTTGACGACTTGTGGGTGGTTGGGTTGAAGTGCTTGAAGTGTTGTGGTGTGCTAAGCTCCAATACCGATGGTATGGAGTCAATTGATACTTTAAGAGAGTTAAAGAGATGGAATATCTGCTTTGTTGACTTGAGACGTGCCTTCTACAACGAGGTGATGAAGATGAAGATGACGATGAAGGTGGAAGAATCTTGTGCGAGGGGTCAAGTCACGAGAAGAGCTTGGGGTTCAGAAACAGGACAGCTTGATGTGCCGCCGCCTTTCCTTCCGGTCTGGTTGCGGCCACACAGGCAAGACAGTGCCATAATGGCAATCTGTGAGCTGATCGATCGTTGCCCCACGTCAAGCGTGACCTGGAAAGCTCCCAACCGGAAGGCGCGTTCCAGCGTATCCTCTGGCCACTTTAGCCCCTGGAACTGGTCACTGTTGCGTGAGCTTGCGCACGATGGCGGGGCCTCAGGGAATGCGAAATGCGGGTGAAAGTGCGGGGTTAGCACCGGAACTGTGCGTTCTATGGGTCTGGCGGGCCCTTAGCGCAGTCCACCTTTGCTGCAGGCCTGGTCAATGCTTTCGCTGGGTCACATGCGCTCTTATCACGATGACGATAGCACTCCTCGGTGAGCGGCCTTTCACCTTGAAAAGCTGCATCACGAGCATTTCAAAGTTCAGATGTACACAGCTATACCCCTGGAATATCCCGGAACCCCATGAAACTGCTGTTACTTAGCTCTGCTGCAGGCGGCGGTCTTTGAAGGCCATGATCCATCCTTCCGTATTCTCATAGGAGCTCTTCACGGCTTTTCAACTGCCAAGTTTTCTGAGGATCGGCGAGAGACAATTCCACACTATCCAAGACAGACGTCACCAGACTTCATGACCGCAGGAAGCTAGGAGGAGCCCAGAAGATGGCGACACCTGCGTATGTACCTACCTAGCCAGAATGCATCTGTGATAGATCCTCCATGTGTCTGAGTCTCATGTCTGGCGATGTTGATCGCTGATTACCTCCTAGATCTACGAGGGACGTCTCCAAGGCTATCAATGCCTACATCCAATCTCCCGTCCTGCCTCTCCCCGGAGACCTAAACCACATAATATCTGCCTACCTCGAGAAACACGAAAAGACAGACGAGGCCGCTGCCGATCGGCTACAAGAGGAGCTTACATCCATCTACAACAAATTCGTCAACGGTCGGCATGAGAAATATGCCCCTTTCCTGGCTGTCCTCCGCCAGGTGCGGCCGATTCTGCGGACGCCGGCCAGGATAGTCCAATGGTGGGATAGGTTTCTCGATCCAGTTCTTGAGAACCTGAATATCGAAAAAGGCTTGGCCACTGAAGCGCTGAAGAACATCCTCCAGCTCCTGGCTTTCGATGAAGCCGAGTATGACAGACCTGCCACCGAGGGGCCGAATATCTTCGCCGACCGGCTGCTGTCAAGATGGATGCAGTATAACGCGCTGAATCAAGCTGCTACCGGAAGTGGCTCCAGCGACAGCAAGGAGAGATTCATGCAGGAAGCCATCATGACCTTTGGAAAGAAGGACGCCAAGGCGAGCAACAACCCCTGAGCCCATGAGCCCAGACAAGTCCTAGCTAACCTCGTCTGCAGGGCTTTCTAATTGCTCTGAATACCTATTTTGTCAGGAAGGAGTACCGCAACCGCTGTCTAAACCTGCTGTGCGAGTTCGTGCAGAGCCAACCGCCTCACCTACACCTTGTCTTGGAGACGCCCCTATTTGAGAATATCCTCAAATCGCTTCAGTACGATGACTCAACCACAACCGTCTCGCTGGGCTTGGTCAGCCTGTTTATGCTGCTGCCAAACATGCCGAGTTCTCTCGTGCCACATCTTCCTACCCTGTTCAACATCTACGCGCGGCTTCTATTCTGGGATAGGGACAGGTCCTTTGCAGCTCAACATAGCGAATGGGGAACCGAAAACAAAGGCGCTGATCCTGGCTGGGACAAGTGTCTCTTTGACAACGACCTCGACGGGAACTCAATCCACCATCTATCAGCATACTTTACCATTCTGTACGGCCTGTACCCCATAAACTTCCTCGACTACATCCGCAAACCGCAGCGGTACCTCAGGCACGCCAACAACGCAGACGACATCGACGTCCAAGCAAGCGAGATACGGGAGAGATCAGAGCGCTTCCGCCGCTGCCACCTCCTCCATCCCAACTTCTACCAGTTGACCATCGAGTCGGAAAAGACGGACTTCAGCAGGTGGATTAAGTGCGAACCAGCCGAAGTCATCACCGACTGCATGAACCTGTGCATCTCCGCCGATCCCACCGCCGGACCAGACATCGGGGAGGAAATGAGCACCCTTCCGACTCACGAGACCATCGTCTCCCCGCCAGACGACGCCAGCAGCGGGCTAGGCATACCTCTCCTCGCAGGCAGCGCACACGCCTCTCTCCGCGATTCAAAATCAAGCGACCCGCGACACACCTCCATCGCATCAGCCTCAACACACGACAGCGGCGGCGGCCACCTCAGCATGAACCTCGCCCGCAAAACCTCTCAATCCAGCCACCCCTCCACCCGCGGCTCCCTCGAAGCCCGCCCCCGCGACACCAGCGGCGACAGCCCAACCCTGCCCCCAACCCTCACCACCTCGCCCTCCCACAGCCAGCTGCAAGACATGATCACCTCCAACAAAGTGATCAAGACCGGCCTGCACCAGTCCCTAGACAACACCAGCGTCCCCTCCCTCGCCCTGTCGCACCACACCGACAGCAGCAGCACGGGCTACCTCGCGCTCCAAGGCCCGCACCCCGCGGGGTCCGCCAACCACCCATCCCACCTCTCCGACCTGCACGTCCAGATCGCCGTGCTGCAGCGGCAGAACCTCCTCCTCCAAAACGACATCAACTTCGAGCGCTACATGAAGCAGCAGCACATGGCGCACATAGGCGAGCTGCGCCGCAAGATGCTGCGCGAGGCCGCGACGGAGGCCGAGACGCAGAACCTGATCATGGCGAATCGGAGTCTGAAGCACCAGCTGTCCGAGACCAAGAAGGCCGAGTCGCGGCTGAGGAAGGAGGGCGAGAACAGGCGCAACATGGCGACCAAGTGGGAGGCGCAGCTGAGTAGCCGGTTGAGGGTGCTGAGGGAGGAGCAGAAGCGGTGGACGGCGGAGGAGAATAAGTTGAACAGGGAGCTGGAGACGGCGAGGGGGGAGTGCGAGCGGTTGAGGAGGTTGGTGAGCGATGCCGAGGCGGAGCGGAAGGGGTGCCAGCAGGACGAGGAGAATTTTGAGACTAGGGGGGAGGAGATTAGGAGGCTCAAGGAGGAGCTTGCGCGGCTGGCGGCGTGTGAGAGGTGGTATCAAGGCTTGGAGACGAAGATGAGGGCTAACATGGAGGAGGCTGCCGGCGCCGAGGCGCGGGCGGAGGAGAAGTTGATTGAGGTCAAGGCGAGGGAGGAGGAGGTCAAGCGCGAGAGGGACGGGTGGGAGAGGGAGATGGAGCGGCTGAGACAGAGGGTCGCCGAATTGGAGGAGGGGAAGGCGAGGGAGGGGGCGACGACGGACCACCGCCCCGAGAGGGAGGGGAGGGCGGTGGCGGAGGCGGTGTTCCAGACCGCGCTGGCGAATCTGCAGACTAAGCATGCGGAGCTGCAGAGGCAGTTTGCTATGCTGAACCGGAAGTACACTGTCGCGCAGAGCTCGCTGCTGGATCTGCAGGTCGACATCCAGGAGAAGAGGAACAGGGCCGAGAGAGGGCACTGTGCCGCGAGAGATGGGGAGGGCGAGGGCATGCCGCCGCTGATGAAGTCGACCAGCAGCCCGGTCAACATCAGGACGCGGGGCACGCGCGGGCTGTCGGATCCGGAGGCTATGTTTGAGGCGACGAGTTACAATGCGACGGCGCCGCTAGAGCCGATGTCGAGTTCGCTCGGGAACGGGGGCGGTAGGCCCGGCACGCCGCCGAGGGGTGGGCTGGGGCCATCGGATGGGGCTGTCAGTCCGCAGGCGGAGAGGTATCATGGCCGGGGTACGTGACATCTCAGATTTTGCATGATGACATTGACTGACGTTGTCTTAGGCGGTGTGCAGAACAACTTGCGGAAGGAACAGAAGAAGGCAGAGGGCAAGAAGGACGACAAGCCGGACAAGAAGGAGAAGAAGGCTGGAGCTGTGATCCGCAACTTTAGGAATCTGGTATGAGCGGGCGGGTTTGAAGCTTTGGTTGCGGTACAAGAGAACTGACGGTTATGCAGTCTGTAGTGTAAGGCAGGCTCTTTACAAAGGAAAGAACAGACATGCAGCAAGAAGTCCACAGACCTCTTGGGATTATAACATTGGTTGACTTCATTCATAGCAAACAAAAGATAAAAAGATACAGCACTTCACGGTGTGAATGACAGCAAAAAGAACTCGGATACGGGGAGTCGAACCCCGGGCTGATGAGTGAGAGTCATCGATGTTACCGCTACACCATACCCGATAAGGAAACCAGAAGAAGGTTGACTGAACAGAGTGGGATTCGAACCCACGCCTCTTTCGAGACTACGAATCGGGAGGTGGTAGCTCCGGAGAGAAACCAGTACCTGAACGTAGCGCCTTAGACCGCTCGGCCATCTGTCCTGTAAGATTGATGAATTCCCATTCCGTTATTGGAGCTTATGGATGCTGTGCTAGTGTCGTCGACCGTCTGTTCAAATTTTCTATGCCATGTGGGCTCCGGCAGCATCCGGGGTGGAAACGGAGCTAGTGGGTCCTCTGCGGGCCGGCTTGGTTGCGCCAGGATGAGCTTCGACAACGGTGCGCCGCCAGCGAATCAGAATCGGCGCTTGCGTTGCCTGCGTTACCCAATCTCGCCTGAGCATCCCACTTCCCTTTCTGAGTGAGTGAGTGCTGCCTTGCTTGTTGGGTTGGTCTCCCATTTGCCAAACATCGCCATTCGTGTCACTCGCTTCGTTCTATTTCTCCCGTGCTCCTCTCGGCGTTGTCCCGCCTGATTATCGCATTTTGGACTTTGGATATATCACGCCCTATATATACATACTATCGCGCGCCTAAGAGCTTGTCTCATCCGAGATCGCCGCTTGCTTATCTGCCGCATTCCAGCCGCTCGCACCCGTCGCGCGCACCGGCGAGTAGCCATCCTCGGCGTCTCTCAACCTCCAAGACATCGAACCGAGACACCACTCCCCATCGCGAACAAATAGCATAAGCGCGCGGCGCAAACGGCGCAATGCCGCCAGTCCTCCTCCGGCGCATACCCGCGCCCGACTCCCTCCTCAACCTCCTGCACCACAGCTCCCCCCCGCTGCAGCCTCTCTCCCTCCGCTTCGCTTCAGCCCCGGACTCCCTCTCTCCAACACGCACCCTCTCCACCTTGCTGGGAGGCACCCGCGTCATCCCCCGCCAAGCAGCAGCGCACACAACCTCCACCATCCCGGCCACCTACGGCGCCACCAACGGCCCCGACGTAGGCACGGTAGTCGGCATCACGCTGGGGTCGGTGGCGGGTTTCATCCTCCTGCTCTGGCTGATCTACACGTGCCTCAACGTCGGCAACCCGGACGCCTTTACGGACGCCGAGAGCACGGTCATGTCTGTCGGGACGGCGAGCGTGGGGACCAGGACGAGGGTGAAGAAGCACGTTCACAGGCACCATCGCAGTCCGAGAAGGGAGACGGTGGAGATCAGGACCAGCGGGCCGGGCAGGCCGGTTATTGTCGAGGAGAGGGGGGGCAGTCGGGTGAGGGAGGTGGTGGTGGAGGATACGGTGCGGAGGAGCGCGAGTCGGGCGAGGCCGCCCCCCAGGGTGGTGGATGAGGATGAGGAGATTGTGGTGCTGGAGGAGCATAGTCCGCCGAGGAGGCATAAGAGTAGGAGACGGAGCAGTGCGGAGCGGAGGAGTGGGGGGTATAGGGTCGTGCGGGAGGATGAGGTTGTGCGGGAGGTGAGGAGGGAGAGTGGGAGTCGGAGGAGGTGATGAGTACGAGTTTACGGGGTGTAGGATTGCACATGGTGCGGGGAGGCATGGGTTCTTTGGGCGGCGTCTTGGGGATGGAGGATCTGGGTTGGGAGGTAATGCGGTCTCACACGGTTTTGGATAATGGTTGTACGAAAGTGGTACTGTGGTACATATGAAAGGCGGAGCCGATGTTGAATGGTTTGGATCTTGCCTCATTCTTACCTTCCAGGTTGTTGTTGGTTATACATGAGGCACCACTGTGGCATGCATCACTGGTGGCCGGAAAGGAGCAGGAAGGATGCATTGCCTGGAGACTGGAATCACCGGGGTGCTATGGGGGAGGCCTTCTGCAAGGGCATCTGCGTCACTGCGGAAGTTAGTCCGGCACCCACAGCTGCATGAAATGACACTGAGTTTGTCTCATTAAGACTTGCACCCAGGTCTAGCCAAGCAACTTGATATTCACATGCAGTCGAGTCCGCCAAGCCAGGGTCTCCTCTGAGGTTAAAGTTGGGTGCGGCTCCGTTGTTAGGCAGGGCCAAATCCAATTTTAGTGCAGCAGGGGCTCTCTAGGGGCTCTTTCACATGCTTGCAGCGACATGTCGCCTGCCAATGACATCACAACCGTGTCAAGCCATGTCTTTTACACTTTAGCATTACCACCAGACTTACATCCAATGTAAGTGTTGCACCCCGAAGCTCCGGCAACAGAATGGCATTGTATTTCAATTCCCGCGTCCCGACATCTGGTAGACTTTACCTTTTTCCAAACAAGTAATCACTTACACGCTCTTCTCACAGTCTTGAATCGCCAGTACACCCATTTATCACATCCACCTGTCTGTCTCGCATCACATCTTGACTTAAGCTATGGAAGACCCGGGTAAGTCCATCCGCAACCCCTCTTGACCAACACCACAAACACTAACACAACACCCTCCCCAGTCAAAGACATCGAGGGCGTAGTCCGCTCCCTCACCCAAGGCAGCCCCAACGAGCAAGCAGCAGCACTAAACCGCTACTTCGTCCCCAACGCCGAGTTCGTGCACCCCTTCTGCCGCGTGCCCCCCTTCCAGGACGTCTCCCTCCCCCTGCTGGGCCAGACCAACTCCCGCCAGCTGCTCCTGGCCGTGCTGAGGTGGTACCGCATCCTCAGCCCCCGCATAGACCTGCAGGTCAACTCGGTCCTGTTCGACCCCTCGAACAACAGGCTGTACGTCGACATCAACCAGCGCTTCGCCTTCTGGTTCCTCCCGCTCGCCGTCGCAAACGTGAACCTCGTCTCGCGCCTCAGCCTGGTCCAGGCCGGCGGCGGCGGCTACGGCCACGGCCACAGCCACAGCCACGCCAGCTCCCGCCGGCAGCTGACGGCGGCCGGAGACGGCTGGACCACCGTCACCGACGACCACCACCACGGAGGGCAGCAGAACCTGGCCAGGGTGATCCGCAACGGCGAGTCGCCCAGCTTCGCCGCCGTGGCCGCCTCGTCGGACGGGCCCCTCCTGGCCGGCGGCGGCCACCACCAGAGCGACGGCGAGGGCGGCGGCGGGTACCTGATCGCCAAGCAGGAGGACCTGTACCAGGTCAACGAGTTCGTCAAGTTCGTCGCCCCCTTCGGCGTCGGCGACGCGCTCGTGTCGGCGTGGCATCTCTTTGCGACGGCCATGTGCGTCGTCGGCGCCGCGGCCCTGTTCCCGTTTGTCTGGGTCCTCACGAACCGGGGCGAGGGCGGGAACGTCATGCCGCCCGTCGAGCGCGGGGATGATGGGAGGGTCGTCTTTGACGGTGTCGGGGCCGAGTGGGCGGGCCGTGCGTTTAGTCCGCTCAGCAGTATTGGGAGCAGCGCGGTTCGGGGAGTGGTTGTCAACCTCCAGGTGAGTAACGGTGGCCGGGACAGACGGCAAGTTGGTGACGAGGTAGAAAGTTTTTTTGCTGACAACGGGACAGGCGAACGTCGGCCCCCTCGTCGAAAAGGGCGAGGCTCTCGCGTCGAATGCCCAGAAGCGGGCCCGGGGTGTGATCAACGACGTCCAGGCGCGGCAGGAGGCGCTGGTCGGGACGGCGCAGGAGAAGGCCACGCGCCTCGCCGACAAGGCGCAGCACCGGGCCAAGGGGGTGATCCACGAGGTGCAGTCGCGGGAGGACGCGCTGGTCGGGGCCGCGCAGCAGAAGGCCCGGGGCCTCGCCGACACCGTCCAGCAGAAGACCGAGGGGTTCGTCCAGACGGCGCAGGAGAAGGGGGAGACGCTCCTCGACGCGGCGCAGAAGAAGGAGGTGGAGCTCGTCCGCGGCGCGCAGGCTAAGGAGGAGCAGTTGGTCGGTAACCTGCAGAGCAGCGAGGAGCGGGCGGCTGAGAATACAAAACAGTGGTGGGCCGCGAACAAGAAGGGCTAGGGACTGTGACTTGCTCCGAGTCGAGGATCGGGGGTGCTTTTGCCTGTAACAACATGGACTTTCTTCACGACGACGCAGTATACGATACCTGGGAACGGGAACGAGTAGATACCTAGACCTAAAATCCACGTTCTCGATTCATCAGACACAGAGTCATCAATGATATGCCACTGCGGGTATATGATACATGCGTAACAGGCAAGAGGTATAGACGGAAAGAAACCCCTGTTCGACGAGGAAAACGCAACCCATATCCGCTCACAGATTTTGAAGTCCAGATTCCGGCTCAGATCCCAAACCTCCCAGATCCCCTTTTTCGCTAGCAAGACAATCCCGGTGCCGAATTTCATCCCAAAAAAAACACAAGAGTTAAATCACTGCCCAAATCACCCTCCCTGTCCAGACCTCTCCCCATTAGCATCGTCCCCCATGCCATCCCCCCTGGGCTGCATCCCCGTAGCCTGATCCAGCGCCATACTCAGCCCCATCCCGTTCCCGCCACCTGCGCCCCTCTGGTCGCCAAAGAAGAAGCCGTCGAACAGATCCAGCTGCTGGCCGTCGCTGAAGTCGTGGTGGAGACCCTCCCACCCCAGACCAAAGTTGAGATCCATCTGCTGGTCCTGCGCGTTGCCGCTAAAGTCGGTGTCGAGGTTGTTGCCGGGCTGGCTGTCGAGGCTCTGCAGGAAGTCCATGCCCTGCAGGTTGGAGTTGGTGAAGGGGAGGGGGCTCTGGTTCGGGAGGGGGTAGAAGTTCGGCACGGGGTTGAGGGTCGGTATTGTCGAGGGGGAGGAGCCCATTCGCTGTATGGGGGGTGTCTGCTGGGAGGTGAGGGACGGGTCGAGACTGGTCTCAGGGGAGAGGGCGTCGGCGGACGAGGTCGTGCTGTGCGGTTGCGGGGCCGGGTGGCGCATGAGGGAGAAGTTGGTTTCCGAGTCGGTGGTGTTGGAGGCGTTGGTCGACAGCCGGAAGCGCTTGGACGGCTTCTGCTGTGCGGGGGCGAACTGGGTCGACGAGGCGGCGGACGTGGAGTAGGTGTCCGAGGCCACGTCGTACTGGGATGGTTGGCGTTGGGAGGAGTTGTAGTCCATCGAGATGCGCTGCTGGTGGTGGCGGGCGCTGCGGTTGGAGGAGGAGGCCGCGTCGGACCTGGACGACCAGTTTAGGCGGTCGTCGAGGCTACCGTTGCGCGAGTTGCGGCGCTTGTGGCCCGGTGCCGCCCCAGGCAGGACCTGGCCGAAGCCGCCGGTCGAGTTGGCCATTTTTATGG